TAATTAAGTACTATATCCAAAAAAATGTTTTCATGTCACTGGACTTTATATCTAATGAAGTCTTCTTTGAATGAGCATTATATCTAATGTCTTCATCTAAGGGCTGAGTTAATTAATTATTTGTCTTCTGGATAAGAAAATTTATGTAATGTATTAGGAGTATTTGGAATTAAGTCATTGTTGAACTATCTTCATATGACCCCCCCCTAATTCCTTGCTCTTAATGGATAAGGATAAGGAAATAAGGAAACTGAGGCCCAATGTAAGGGATCACCCTGACCTTGGACCTCAGCCCCTGCCTCAATTAATTTTGCAAGGTCTTTTCTTCTCCCCTTTTCCTTTTCCTCCTCCTCTTCCATTCACATCTGAAATTTTGAGAACTGTGCTGAAAGGATGAAATGCTGACTTTGTCATTCCTGAATGGCCTTCATACTCTTTGCCTTTTCCTCTATCATAGTAACCTACATCACTCTACAATCTTTGTTATCTAACCTATTTTGTCCTAATCATAAACTCATTATTAACCCTTTCACCACAATACTTTGTCATAGTGCTGTATGACCTTTCTTTACCTGGGCTTTCGCCCTCAAGCCTCACCCTATCACTAAATCTTGAATACACAGCTAATGACCTTAGATAGCAAACAGTTTTTAATAAGTAAAATGGTATCTTGATATGAAGAATTACTTGCTTTTAACCATTCCTTTAATTTATTTGTTGCAGTGCAAAAAAATGTTCCTCAATAATAATTTTTTATATATTTACTAAAATAAAGGAATTATAAAATCAGTAATTACTTTCAAATCAACAATAACAAATTAAGAAACAGTAAATATTAATTAACATGCAAATAATAATGCATTCAACCAGGAAATTTTAAAATACGAAATATCAAGCCATTGATAATGTCCTTCAATCACGGTAGTGGAAATAGAAAATACAAGTAAAATGTCATTCTTTAATTTTTATTTTCAATCAAATTAATGTATTAATGGTAATTTATTTTCTTCCACTTTTTTCTTTCTTTCTCTCAGTTCTTTTGTGTCTCAGCAAATCCAGCTGAACCATCGACTCTCAAAGTTCTGCTGTGATATTCCCTCAAAGCAATTCTCGTTCTCTTCTGACTTGAATTTGGAACTCCCTCTGTCCACAAAGTCTGTCACATCCTGTAATGGAACGCTCATTTTCTCCATTATGTCTCCACTTTTCAAAACTTGTTGTCGCAAATACTGCAGTGCATCTTCATGCATCAACATGTTCAAGTCCTTGAGAATTTTCTTCTGATACAACACACTAAATCCAGCGGCAAAGCCAACTGCTGTTCCTACCGTTTTCTTCAGAAGAACAAAGGACCTCAGGAGAGAGGCTGCAACAAACTGCACTGCCACATCAATATCCCCCATTGTAGAAACATCCTGATCAGCTTCATTGGTCAAACTCAACAATGAATCCCCGAGCAATAGAATTTCGTCATCTGAATTATCACAAGTTTCTAAACCACTGTCTGTGTTTTCTATCCTAACCTTTGCTGAAACAGAAAACTTCATGAGATCTTGTACATTTGGAATGGCAACATTGTAGAGAGCTGCATATACACAAGCCAGCTTCAACCAGGTATCACTGTTAAATGAGTGAAGAGTTACAAGTGTTTGTGCTGCTGAAAGAGCATCTTTGAATTCCCCTGCTGCTAGGTTTACATCCACTAACAGAGAACAACTTACAGTTGCTTGTTCCACTGTTTTTGATGTTGTATGCAATTTTTCTGCATATTCAATAGCATCCTTAGGTGTTCCTTTTTTTAAATGGCTTCTGGCAATCCCTTCACAACATTCTCTTTTAGTTGCTATGTTGCCAGCAGACAAGTCAGATAAAATTTCATTATATTTGAGAATAGCAGATTCATAATCTTTTCTTAAAAACAGATATTCAGCAATATATTTCTGTACACTCAAGGTATCCTCCTGCGACACAAGTTCCTCTGGTCCCACATCCATGAACCAGCAATCGTCACAAAAGCGAGCAGAATATTCCTCATCTGCCTTGGCTCGTTCACGTTCCACCTCAAATAGGTCATCATCCAGTCCTGCAAACTCCATTCTGCAGTGAGGAAAGGACATTGATTATAGATGGATTCTGAATTACAGACTATTGTAAAATCATGATTTAGAAAGTCTTTTACTCTTGTGCACCTGAGCCTCTGTTCTTACCATCTTTTAAAAGATAAAGAAAGGTAAAGATGTCAAAATTTGATAAACTAAACTTTATCTCATAAAAATACATCTAATAAAACCAAGTAATATTATATGGGGTGGGGTAGGGTGGGGTAGTGTTAGGGTGGGGTAGGGTAGGGTAGGGGTAGGGTAGGGTAGGGTAGGGGTAGGGTAGGGTAGGGTAGGGTAGGGTAGGGTAGGGTAGGGGTAGGGTAGGGTAGGGTTAGGGTAGGGTAGGGTAGGTAGGGTAGGGTAGGGTAGGGTAGGGGTAGGGTTGGGTTGGGTTGGGTTGGGTTGGGTTGGGTAGGGTAGGTAGGGATAGGATAGGATAGGATAGGATAGGATAGGATAGGAAAGGATAGGGTAGGGTCAGGTCAGGACAGGATTGAACTAATGGGATAGGACATGACTGGTCTGGACGGGATGGAATGTGACACGACGGGACAGGAGAGGTTGGGTTGGGATAAGTTAAATTGCAATCCAAAGAAAATTGGGTGTTATTGCTACATCACATGTAGTATCTCAACAGTAAATGGCCAAATTGTTTTCATTTTGCTTTCATGAAAACCACATTTCTTAAGCTAAAGGAAGTAGTGTGAGAAAATGTAATTTTTCCTATGATAATAACAAAGAATGTTATGTTGACAATGATGATTATAACATTCACATAACCTGATCTGCTACTGTCAATGCTTAATCAACAATATTCAATGTTTATCTAATCTCACTGTTAAACCTAAGCTAACCTATCATTCTACCCGTCAAATAAACTACTATAGTTGTCTATATGGATGTAACAGTACTAGAGGAAATTACTCAATGCCTGTACTTGTGCTGCATTCGGAACTGCTCGTCTTGCTTGTCCAGACATCTTGTCCAGGACCAGCAGGACAAGTGGGCTGCGTCCGGAACCTCCAAGACCCTTTCTGCCCAGAATGCAATTGGCTCGAATGTAAACATTCACTTTTTTATCATACCAGTGTCTTTATTTTATACTCTGCAAAGGTTTTGTAACTCATTTGATGCATATTTAACTTACCTGCAACTGACAAACATAAAAATATCCTTTGATAAAACCAATAAAGGGTCATAATATTACCCACCAATATCTTGGGGTTACCTGCAACTGTTAATGTTTACATTCAAAATCTATTGTGACGTCATCTTGTCCTGCTCGCCCAGGTTCGCAGGAGGGCGAGTTGGACTAGCTAGACTACTTGTCCGGGACTAGATAGTGGAGGTTCTGAGCGGTCAAAGCATCTCATCCAACTGGTCTGGATGAGATAGACGAGCAGTTCCGAACGCAGCATTAAAAAGAAATCATATCAATATGAGCATGAAATTAACTAGCTCATATGTTTAATCCTCTGTTCCAGAATATATGTATATAAATAAATATATATGTAGATAGGTAGATTAAAGATATAGATATGGTTTTAGTGTGGAATCGAAACTACCTATCACAAAAAAAAACAAAAAACAAACACAAACACATACACATATATATTTATACCTTGCTACTGTAACGTGATCACTGATATTTCATATAATGGAACGGACACAAGATCCAACAAACAGAAAAAAACAAGAAAAAATAGATATTTCACCTTCAGCGTAGAGGTAACGCTGTTTCGGGTCCACATGTAAACAAAAATCAGCTGATGAACCACGTGACAAATGTAAACAAGACAATCTTGGCGATCAATTATTATCCTGAAGATCTGATATGCATAATCATTATGATGACAGAGATGTAAATGCTAATAATGTGGATAATAATGGATTTATAACAATAATGAAGATGGTGTACAGTCGCCAGTATCTTTTCTTTATTGTGCCTAAGCCATAGACCTCTTGTGGAATGGGAACTAACCGCCGTGAACATAGTCACACAAGTCCATAGATACCCCGTTTCATGTTAAAATATCCTGCCTTTTATGCTTTGCCCGCTCTTATGCTGTTGCTTAAATGTCGCACTTTTCAGTAGACTCTCCCTCTCCCTCCCTCTCTGTCTGTCTGTGTCTGTGTCTGTGTCTTTGTCTCTGTCTCTCTCTCTCTGGGTACTGGCCTGAGTACCTTGAAGTAGGATGCCGATCTTCAAGTTGAGGAGTGGTTAGGCATCGGGTATTCTCTGCTGAACTGTCAAAGGCTGGTGGTGAACCTATGGTGTGAGATTTGCATGCTATACTGGCTGCCATCTGGCAGTATGGTACTATTCCCCCTGACCTGCTGAGGAGTGTAGCCATCTCTCTCTAGAAGGGAGAATGGGATCGGTGGGCATGCAGCAAATGATTCCACAATAAACCGTATCCTGGCGTTATGAGTCATTGCAAAGCGCCGTCGTGGGTTCGGCCATGGGCTGCTTGCAGTTTACATCTACCTAGAGAAGGCGTTCTATACGGCGCATTGTGAATTAATATGGGAGATCCGGAGACCGAGAGGAATCCCAAAAAGGATTATTGGACTAATAGCAAGCCTGTATACTAGTACTGAAAGAGCTGTAAAATGTGGTGGGGGCCTGTCTTACTTCTTCCCACTTAAATTAACTCAGGAGTGAGGCAAGGCTGTGTTCTCGTACCAACACTTCAACACTTGAATATTGATAGGGCAGAGTTCGCTGCCCAAAGTTATGAAGTAACACTGGGCAATATACAAAATAACGGTCTTGATTTTGCTGCTGATGTTATTCTACTAGAGTGTCTGGAAACCCTATTGGCGGTTCTTGATAAAAGAATGTAGCAAAGCCCTGGAGGTCTCCTGAATCAAGGCCATCCAGGACTTTAGAGGCCTGATACGATAACTTCTTTAGTCCTTATATTGAAGTCACACATTTTTTTTTTTTATGGTAGTGAAGTTCTTGCCTCTAAGCTGTCAGACCAGTAAGTCGATAGATAAACTGGTCTGGCAGCAGGGGTCATGGACAAGAGTATTCGGAAATAACTGTAACTGTGCAGAGGGACCCAGCTCCATGCCTTCAAAGCCCTGATACTGCCTGTTTACCCTCGTGTAGTGAAACCTGGATGTTATTCTGTGCCTTGGAGTCTCGTGTTGATGCCTTTTGTGACAGGCTAATGTGCGGGACCATGGGGCATAGTTGGCAGGACCAACATTTACACTGTGAGACTGGCACATGGCCCGTTACTCTATGGGCACCGGACTCACTTCCCTCACAATAATCCTGAGCAGAGGTCTGTTCCAGACAACCCAAGGTGGAGGAAGCTCGTGGGACGACCTTGAAAGTCGTGGCTTGGGCATATCGCTCAGACTTGTGATAATCCTACGCCTTGTCTGGCGGTTGGCCATGAGGGACCCTCGAAGATGGAAACAAGGGATGGATGCACCCCGTCGGCGTTAGTTTGCCACACCATTATCGTTACGATTATCAATCACAATATTGTTATTATTACTATTATTATTATTACTGTTTTTTTTTTTTTTTTTTGTCATTACCATTGTTATTAAGATATTGATAGCAATAATGATGTTTATTATTATTGATATTATTATTAATACCTTTCTCATTAGTAATATTTTTATCATCGTTATTATTTTTATTATTATTTCTATTAATTTTATTATCATAATTATTGATATCATTATCATTGTTATTATTATTGTTGTTGTTGTTCTTATCATTATGTTCAAACTGTTATTGTTATGATGATGGTTAACGTTGTTATTACTAATATCATTATCATTATTACCATTACTTCCATTACTATATAGAATCATTATGAATTAGTATAAGTATCATTATCATTATTGCCATTATCATTACTATTATTATTATCATCACCATTATTACTAACAATATCGTACTTATTATCATTGTCTTCACATCAATTTTGAAATATCTTCATTATAATTGTTATTACCATCACCATTGCCCATTTACTACATCAGGTTCGTTACACAGACTCATTCTGTAATTATTCATATCTGAACATATGGTGTGGTTTAGTATCATAGATATTTTTTCTTTTCTTTCTTTCTTTTTCAAGGCACACAATTAGTTCATTTCGGGAGAGAGAGAGGGGGGGGGGAAGGGAGAGATAAAGAGAGGGAGAATAGGGGATAGGGAGGGAATGAGCAAGAGAGGGAGAGAGAGAGATATTGAAAGAAAGAGAGAGAGGGAAATAAGATAGAGAAAGGAAGAAATAAAGGGGAGAAGAGGGGAGAGGGAGAGAGAGAGAAAGAAAGGGGGAGAAGAGGGGAGAGGGAGAGAGAAAGAAAGGGGAGAAGAGGGAGAGGAGAGAGAGAGAGGGAGGGAGAAAGAGAGAGAGAGAGAGGAGAGGAGAGAGAGAGAGAGAGTGAGAGAGAGAGAGAGAGAGAGAGAGAGAGAGAGAGAGAGAGAGAGAGAGAGAGAGAGAGAGAGAGAGAGAGAGAGAGAGAGAGAGAGAGAGGAGAGAGAGAGAGAGAGAGAGAGAGAGAGAGAGAGAGAGAGAGAGAGAGAGAGAGAGAGAGAGAGAGAGAGAGAGAGAGAGAGAGAGAGGATGATAGAGAGAGAAAGGGAGAGAGAGAGAAAGGATGATAAAGAGAGAAGGGGAAGAGAGAGAGGGCAATAAGAGAGAGATAATGAGAGAGGGGGAGGGAGGAAGATAGAGAGAGAGTGGGAAAGACAGAGGGAAAGAGCGAGAAAGGAAGATGAGATTGGCCGAGATCGAACTTGACTAAAGAAGGAAAAGGGAGCCACATGACAGGAATCAAGCGAAACGAAATGCTCCTAAAACAGATTTATTTTCCTCAACATAGTGTACACAGATCACCAATAGGGTCGTTTTCCACACGACCCCCTGTTTGTAGTGGTCGTACCTGACGAGAACATTTACTTGGCCGAAGGAGATGCACGGAATATCTCCCACCGGGTAGTCAATAGTCGTTCCTTACACATCACACGCAAAACCCAGTCTATGAGACGTCGTTCTCAACACTGGGACTACCTCTGGACGCAGTGGTGGTCGTACCTCGCAGGTAAAACAGCCACAACGACTCAAGAGAGGGTGTGTTATCTCCACGCGAAACTGGCCGTAAGCAACGTAACGAGTACATTCTCTCTCAGTGCCCGGTTAAGCACCCTTAGTCTAGCTAACGACCCGGGGCCCAAACGAAAAAAAAAGACTGTCGATGCACCAGTTCCTTCGCGGCAGTCAAACAGTCAGTCAGTCAGTCAGTCCTGGCAGACGAGCAGACGCACGGCAGACGAGGAAAGGCAGACACTCACTTCAGCGTTTCTTGTGCCTCTCCAGCTTTAATTTCCTCTTCTCGTGCCGCCGACGCTCACGTTGCCAGAAAGTCGTGATCCACTTGTAGGTGAACACTCCTGCAGGGAAAAGGGAAGGGCGTTAGGCCTACGTCGGTGGATGGGCGCGCGCGCGTTTGTGTGTGGTGTGTGTGTGTGTGTGAGAGAGAGAGAGAGAGAGAGAGAGAGAGAGAGAGAGAGAGAGAGAGAGAGAG